GGTCAACGCTGTACGCCTGCCACGTGAAACCAATAAACAAGCCGTCACATCTCACTGAAAATACACTAAGCAGCGGGTGAAGTAAATGATTAGGTCCAACTTGAGACATTCTCTATTATAAGAGGTGCCTAATGCAGCTATACGAGGAAAACTTACGTTAATAAGAAAAAAAATCACGTCCCTAAATAAGCGCACGAATGCCCAGTGAAGAAATCAACTAAAAGGTAGGTCGACTGCTTAGGTAACTAGAGCAAGAGGCTTCACAGCACGAGAAGCCCAAAGGAAAAAATGGTTCACTTGATTTCTCTCAAACCAACAAACTCACTTTCATCATCTTCCGGCACCTTTCCTCCCGTATTGACAAAAGAAAAATGGGCATGCCTTCAAAAGAAATCATGGGCTAGAGAGCACTGGCAGCGTAAGGCTGTAGCTACTACAGTGGTCGGCACTAGTACGCTTTCCTGCTTAACCAAGATACCTACCGAGACGCATAGGTAGGCACCAAATAACGGCATATCTACCACGTATGAAGTTTATATTCAAAACCATACTCACTGTTTCACGGATCAGCAATTGCCGCTGTGACCACCATCAATGGTCTGCAGCCACAATCAGCGTAAAACTAAACGAAAGTCTGAACGTAAAACAACTGCCACTGCACATCTGTCGCCTGCGACCACTGTTCAGCGCCAAGCCTTGATCCACACTGAATCAGTTTTGATAAGTGCACTTTAGTGGCGGTACTATCAGCCACTTAGTTTCGGAGCGTTCGCAGCTATCTGCACAAGTTTCGTATTGGGCATCGTTGCAGTGGATCCATCAATCCCGACCGAGGAAGGTCTGCTAGATTTGAGTCACCGAATCAATTGAGCTGGGGGCTGGGTGACGATGCCCATTGGTTAGGTGATCCTCAAATCAGGAGCCGTTTCTCTGTCAGGCTTGATGGATGCACTGCACCATTGCGCGGTACTTCCAAGACTAACTGTCCTATTATAACCACTTCTTGCAGCGGCCATCTCCATATGTCATACATATGTTATGTCACGTCATCTAATGACCCAGACCGCCACTGTAAAACGCCCGCAGTGCCTATATGTAGTCTGCTAGAACGGTCGCGCTTGAAAGTACCGCGCATCGGTGCGGTGGATCCATCAAGCCCGACCGAGGAAGGGCTGCTAAATTTGAGAGTCACTGACCCAATGGACATCCGCATCCATCCCCCAGGTCAATTGGCTCGGTAACTCTCAAATCTAGCAGCCCTTCCTCGGTCAGACTTGATTAATCCACCGCAACGATACGCGATACTTTCAAGAAAGACTGTACAAATACATTGTGCGCCTACAGCATTATAGATAAGACACAACTATAGCATGGATTAGACGTATCTATCATCCGTGCCTACAGATAACATTTCTACCAACCATGATAGTGATGGAGGTATACGTTTATATCAGCTGGGAGCATTGATGCTTTAGTTTTGTAACAATTACAATAATTCGGTTGTTACTGGGCCGATGGCGCTGAAACTTGGAATGCACTTGGACACCCGCCGGTCAGTGCATTTCCGTGTGTCACGGTTGGGATGTCACGGTTTCATGTGCCCCCCCCCCCCCCGGTCCGCAGTCGGCGCCGTCAGACTCGACGGACACCCCCGACAACAGACGTCTCCAGCGACGCGTCTCCGACCGTCATCGAGTACCGCCACGTCGACACACTGCCGGAGCAGGTGCAGCACGTCCAGACGGCCCGATTCCGTCTCCAGTACGGCCGATCGGTGCTGGAGCACCTGGAGGGGATCGGCACCGACTGGCTGTGACCGGCCGAGGCCGTCCAACGACGCCGATGGAGGATGGACCGGCCGACGCCCGCAACGGTCGGTGTCTACTGTCACTCAGTTGTGTTGTGGGTCGGTAGTGCACCAGGTGTGGGGCGTATTCGTGTCGTTTGTTGTGGGTAGTCGGGTTGCATAATGTGTAACACATTGCAGGGCAACTTATGTGCGGTACTTTGTAAAATATTTATGCCTATATATCAGTCTACTTGTGACATGTTTCCGTCTCAATTTGCCGCCCGATATCCTACCTTTTGATTTAGTGGACGGAGTCTTTGGAACTCAATTATTATCAGTCACCTACCGATCAGTGATTACCTCCCCACAAAGCGCCCCGTTTGGACCCTCCCGGCTAATTCCCATCACCCACCGCCTGACCCGTGTATTACCGTCCCCTCAGAGCGGCGCCATGCGCGTGCCAGCGCTGTGGCCAGCAGCTGGCCGAGCACTCCAGGAGCAGATCGTGCACGTGCACACGGTGCACAAGGACAGGGGCTGGTACAGACGGTGCCGGACCGAGTTTCCCGATCAACGGTCCAGCCTGGAGCACCGCGCCCGGTGTCGGCGGACCAACGGTCAGAGGCAGAGAGGGGTTATATTCAGGGTGGGATTGGTCAGTATCGATCCCGGGTCTCGGTTCATTAGATATGTCGGCATTATTTCAGGGTACATGAGGGTACGTCCCATGTTGTGGGGAGGGGGAAGTCATCTGTCATATAGAACGTGATTGATTTTGGTGTACTGACTTTTTATTTTCCATTTGAAATTCATGTTTTGAACAGGCTTCTTTTGTGGTGCATGGAGCAGCCCATTACAATTAATCATAGATGGGTTATTAATGCTGAATTAAATAAAAGTACTAATCTGATGCAACAGCTTGTCCGTTGTGCTATGGTTGGTACATTGTCCCAGAGGCTGACGACATTCGGAGAGCTCGCCATTGCTTATTGCCATTAGGTGTGGTCAACCGGCCCGCTCTGCTGTGGATTGTTTCTATACGGTCGGGTGGGAGCGTTCCAGCGCCCGGGTAACTCTTCCTCTGTTATTTGCATGTCAATTGTCCGAGTGCTGCACTAGCTCCGTTGAGGTTTCACCGCACTGTCTGTTAATTACTGTTAACCCTCGTCAGCAGGAAGGGAGAGTGGGTGGGGGGGGGGGGCACTCCCCTGACGGTTTTTCAGGACTTCACGGGACGCACCGGCGATAGAGAGCTGAAATTTAGCGCGCCTAACATTTGATTCAAGCCGGATCGTTTGACACAAACTTCATTTTCAGGTCAGGTGGGTCACTGACCTAAGACGTCACAAGTGAACCTCTGCACGGTCCTAAAATGTCGCCACTTCACAACGCCCTCAGTGTCCTCGGTGCCGGCCGCTGCCGCCGCGCCGTTCGTGCGTCATCCGACCCCACCGACCGCCGCCGCCGCCGCCTCGGCGCTCCATGGATACGCGCCGTGAGTGAACAAATGGCCGGAGGTTGAGGAGTTGAAGGGTTGTGACGGGGGCGGGAGGTGTCGACCTTTTCCAGATTTGACTTGTATCTGGTGTGCCACAGACTTTTCTATTTATAGAGAAGACTTCTCTATATGGGTCATTTCATATGAACTCAACAAATGTGTCCTTTTTCATAAAGCCTGGAATTGTAGAATTGTAGTTGTAGTTTGTGGGTTTGTACTTTCGATTGTACAAATATGTTTCATAGAATAAATTTTACAATCCGAAAGTACAAACTACAGGTCAAAGGTCATTGGGGTCAGGGGCATGAATATGTCAGGATAGGCTTAAAATTGATCAACTCCAGGTAACCGAAAGTTTCGTCGCGATCGGCTGCTTTTTACGCGAGTTATTCGCGAAAAAAGAACGATTGGGAGTGGTCCGTTTGACCCCCCTATAAGGTTAATCTCGAATTTATTTTTTATCTTTTTATGCAAGTCACTGCAGTTGGGTTCCATCATAACGTGATCTCATGCGTTGAGAATGATCAAAGGAAGAGGGCGTCGTGATCCTGGGAAGCAGATCAGATGGGTTATAAAATTTGGAAAAGACTCCAACGGTGTTATCTCTGCTCCATACCGACCCTCTACGTCCTCAGTACCTGTCCATTATTCTTGTTCACAACTCACACTGTTTGTGTGCACGGCCACGCCACTCTATGTCCGGCCGTTCCGGGTCCTCCACTAGGGGTATACGGCCCCACGGACTGGCCGTTTGAGTGGGTGGGTTGTGGTACCAAAAGTTGTAGTATGAATACAATGGTTTTATTCAACTAAATTCGACCGATATGAGTGTGCACCTGAGGACGAAACAGAAATAACAGATATTAGCGAGAGCACCACATTCGACAGTAATGGGTGGTTTATCACATTTTCCCCCGCTGTGTTAAAGACACGAGTAGGCAGAAATCGAGTAGCAATGTAACGAACAAAAGACAGAGTAGGCAGAAATCGAGCAGCTATGTAACGAACAACGCAACAGGCGTCTTTGTACACGTTTGCATAAGCTAAGGCGCACGTCTGGCTTCGATGAGCGCCTCAGTACACGCTCTTATATGTTAAGGCGCACCACTGGCTTCCTTGTCCGGTTAGACCGACGCACTTCGGTCGCCGGTTCTGGCTCGCTCGGTGGCGGCGCGCTTGAGGGTCCCGGGACCGCTTCTGACTCGTACGATGGCGGCGCACTTGAGGGCACCGGGGACTGGCGGCTCGAGAGCGGCGTGCTCGAGGGCTCCGAACGGATGCCCGGAGACCCCGGCTCGCCCGCTTCCTCTCCCTTCTCGTTTCCTTGTTGCTGTGTACAACCGCCGGGGGCGAGATCTCGCACAGAGACCGTGTCGACCTTGCCGCCGGGATAGCGCACGAAAGCGTAGTGCGGGTTCGCCTCCAGGAGTTCGACTGGCTCAACTGGTAGGTCAAGCTTTCCGCGGACGTATTTCTTCAAGAGAACCTGCCCGGGGTTGAGGAGCCAGGACGGTAGAGAAGCTCCCGTCGCAGACCGCCGCTGGAAACAGAACATCCTTTCGTGTGGGGTGGCATTTGTTGCTGTGCACAACAGAGACCGGATAGAATGCAAGACGTCAGGCAGGACGGCGTCCCATTGTCCTCTGCTCAACTTCTTGCTCTCCATAGCGAGTTGAACGGCACGCCAGATGGTGCCGTTAAGCCGCTCACATTGTGAGTTGCCTTCGGGGTGGTACGGTGTCGTGCGACTCGTGGCGATCCCCAGTCCTGTCAGGAAGGATCGAAGCTCAGCTGACATGAAAGCTGAACCGCGGTCGGAGTGCACGTATGCCGGCATCCCGAAGATGGAGAAGAGATGAGTGAGGCATTTGATCACGGTGGCGGTTGTCATGTCCCGGCACGGATAGGCGAACGGGAACCGAGAGAACTCATCGATCATAGTGAGGATGTACTGGTTGCCGTTCGGACTTGGGGGTAGGGGACCTTTGAAGTCCACGTTGATTCTTTCGAATGGAGATGTAGCCTTCACCAGCTTCGCGGAGGTGGCCCTGAAGAAGTTCGGCTTACATCGACAGCAGACCGGGCAGTTGGAGGTGACGCGGCGCACGTCATCCACGGAGTAGGGCAGATTCTTGCTGCGCACGAAGTGCAGCAACCTCGTTACTCCGGGGTGAACGAGAGACTCGTGCAGCTGCTCCAGGGCCGGATGTGAGGCGGCTGCGCAGTGGGCGCGGCTGAACGTATCAGCAGGGATGTTTTCTCGTCCTGGTCGGTACTTGATGGTGTACGAGAGTGGTGAGAGCTCGATTCTCCAGCGTAGAATCTTTTCATTCTTGATCTTGCTCGACACTTTGTTGTCGAACATGAAACTCACGCTTCTTTGGTCAGTGAGCAGGTTGAAGTGGTGGGTTAGGAAGTGCCTCCACTTTCTGATAGACTCCACGATGGCGTAGGCCTCCTTTTCGACGATGTTGTGACGCTTCTCGGCTTCGTTCAGAGTGCGTGAGAAGAAGGCCACAGGACGCTCGTCTTGGGTAAGAGTCGCTGCGATGGCTTCGTCGGAAGCGTCTGTTTCGATGGTGAATGGGGCGTCATCTCTGATGACGGCGACGACCGCTTGTGAGATGTCCTTCTTCAGCTGCTGGATAGCCGCTCTGCAGTCGGGATTCAGAGGGAACGACGATGCAGAGATGAGGGGACGGATCTTCTCAGAGTATGAGGGGATCCATCTGGCGTAGTACGCGAACAGGCCGATGAGCCGTTGCAGAGACTTCTTGTCGCGAGGTTCCGGCAGCTCTTGAAGTGGACGCAGTCGTTCGGGGTCCGGTCTCAGCTGGCCTCGCTGGATGGAATACCCGAGGATATTCACCGTCTCCAGGCCGATCTTGCACTTGCTTCTGTTCAGCGTGAGGTGGAGCGCATCGGCAACCTCCCAGAAGCGCCGGAGGTTCTCATCGTGCTCCTCCCTCGTCTGGCCATAGATGGTCAGGTCGTCCAGATAAGCATAGGTCTCCTTCAGGTTGTTGGCCGCGATGATGTCATTCATGACGCGCTGGAAGGCGGCTGCGCCGTTCGTCACCCCCATGGGGATTCGCTTGAATTGGTACAGCTTTCCTGCCGCTTGGAACGCTGTGTAGGGTCTCTCAGATGCGTCGATCTCGATTTGGTAGTAGGCGCTGGAGAGGTCGAGGACGCTGAAGAAGCTGTTTTTCCCGATCTTGTTGACGAGCTCGCCGATGTTCGGCAGAGGATACGCGTCCAGTTCAGTGAATCTGTTGATAGTCTGAGAGAAGTCAACGACCATCCTTTTCTTCTTGTTCTCCGTGTGTGTGACGACAACTTGGGCACGCCAGGGTGAGCGACTTGGCTCGATGACGCCCTCGTTTAGCAGACGTTGAACTTCGTTCTCGATGAACTTCTCGTCCACATGGCTGAAGTGTCGTGCTCTGGTCGCGATGGGATGGCAGTCGGGGGTGAGGTTGCTGAAGAGCCTCGGGGATGCCGCCTGACTGACTTTCATCTGCGCGAGATTGCAGATACTGAGCTCGGGTTCGTCGCCACCGAGCTCCAGGGTTACACCCTCGTGTCTTCGGAGGAACGGCATGCCGAGAATGACGTCCGTGCAGAGATCCGGGAGGATGGACAGTTCGACCTCCTGGTACTCTCGATCGTCAACGGTCACGGTTGACACGCAGTATCCTCGCACCTGTGTTGAGAGACTGGACGATGCCATGGAGACTTTAGACGATCGTGGCTGCACCCTCATGCCGAGTGCGGGGACGAGCTTTGCGCTGATGAAGTTGTCAGAGCTCCCTGTGTCGATGAGAGCTGTAACCTGACGCCCGTTGACTCTCGCGCTCACTGTTGCTGGCGCGTGAGTAGCGGCGGCAGAGCTTGAGGCTGCGAGCGTGGGCGAGAGCTCCGGCTGGCGAGGTTCTTCGGGGTAGGACTCGTACTCCTCCTGTACGGCCGACGCGTTAGCCACCGACTTGGAGCGGCACACCTTCTGCCAATGTCCGGATTTGCCGCACTTCCCACAGGTTGAGTTTCTTGCAGGACAGGCTGCTCGTGGGTGGCGTTTTAGTCCGCAGAAGAAACACGGAGATTGTGAGGCTGCAGCTACGTAAGCGTCTGCAGTTGGAGATGCGGCGGAGGCTGCGACCGGATCGACCCGTACCGTCGGGGACAGGTAGGATTCCGCGTTTCGTGCGGCTTGCTCCAGTGACCGCGCTTGTTGGACCGCTTGGTCTAGGGTCAGAGTCTGGTTTTCCAGTAGTCTGGTTCTCATGCTGGCGTTTCTCAGGCCCCTGATAAAGGCATCGCGCACGAATGCCGCGCGATGCTCTATGGCTGTGACGGCGGCGAAGTTACAGTCACCCGCCAGGTTGTTCAAGGCCAGAAGGAACTCGTCGATGTTTTCTTCTGGCTTTTGGTGCCTCGTTGACAGCAGGTGCCGCGCATAGATTTCGTTTGGCGTCTTCAGATATGCAGCGTCGAGTTGCTTCAGGGCTGCATCGTACGTCTGACAGTCTTGAATCACGTCCACGACTTCTGGTCCGATATGGAGGAAGAGTAGTTCGAGCTTGTCAGGATTGTGACTTTCGATAGTCGTCAAGAAGTACTTAAATCCTCGGAGCCAGAGCTTCCATTTCTTGTGAGCTTGAGGATCGTTTGGAGGGACGTCGAACTTGTCTGGTCTGGCGATCCTCTCCATGTCTTGTCATGAATTTAGTTGAATAAATTGTGGTACCAAAAGTTGTAGTATGAATGCAATGGTTTTATTCAACTAAATTCGACCGATATGAGTGTGCACCTGAGGACGAAACAGAAATAACAGATATTAGCGAGAGCACCACATTCGACAGTAATGGGTGGTTTATCACATGGGTGGTTTGTCCCACCGGCACACTGGCGTCCCACCGGGTGGTCCCCGCCACTGCGACGCACCGTCGGTGGTCCGCCAGCCCAATGTCTCCCCATCCCCTCTCCCCTGAATGAGCTGAAACCGAACGGCCCGGAATACCAAATCGAGCATACAAAGTTTTAGCTGTGCTTACTTTGATATCAAGCCTGTGCTGACGTCTCACAGCATCGGGCCGCAGGGAAGGGCGATTGTTAGTTTAGATAGACAGGGGTCACCTTAGCGGACAGCGGTCCCGGCGCCAGCGGCCGGACGCTCTATCTGCACTGTCCCGGCCCCAGCCGGAGTCTGGTGCAATCCTCATGAACTGCATAACCTTCCTTTTGACGTCATTTGGTAGCTACTGTCGTGATTCTGTTGCTTACAAATGTCGAAGGAGATATTTTTCTTGCGAGCGTCAATTGTACGGTGGCCCGAAATATGTCAAAACCACGTTGCAATAAAGTGCCGTTTACAGAACCCTGCAGCCGGACAGGTGCTGCCAGAGGTGCAGCTCCAACTCGAGACGATCGGTACGTCAGGAGGGGGCGGGGTGGTTAGCTGTTGTTCAGGCCCTGGTGGATAAACAATGACCACTCTGGATTGGAGCGGCTTATGAAAAAAGGGTGGGGCTGAGAAATCAAGTTTAGGATTTATGGAGAGCGAGTAGGTGTCTGTAATAGCCTCGTCTGTTCTGCGGAAGAGGTTGTGCCGATTTTGCTGCTAATTGTGAGGCGTGAGGAATATAACTCATTTAGATAAAATGCTTTGCGTCGTTTTGGTCAATATCGTGCTGTTACACGATCTGGGGTTCGACGATTGCATTATTTTTTAATTCAAAACATAACCCCGGCTTGTCCATCAATGACGAGTTGTGACATTCACCTGTCGATTTTAATCGGAGCACCTGCTGGTTTGTCAACCACTAGCGGTCGGTGATGAGTCTCTCTCTCTCTCTCTCTCTGTCTCTCTGTCTCTCTCTCTCTCTCTCTCTCTCTCTCTCTCTCTCTCTCTCTCTCTCTCTCTCTCTCTCTCTCTCTCTCTCTCTCTCTCTCTCTCTCTCTCTCTCTCTCTCTCTCTCTCCCTCCCCCCCCCTTCCATACCCGTCTCTGTTGATCGTGCTCCAGTTGAGACATATATCTCTCTCTCTCCTCTCTCTCTCTCTCTCTCTCTCTCTCTCTCTCTCTCTCTCTCCTCTCTCTCTCTCTCTCTCTCTCTCTCTCTCTCTCTCTCTCTCCCTCTCTCTCTCTCTCTCTCTCTCTCTCTTCTCTCTCTCTCTTCTCTCTCTCTCTCTTCTCTCTCTCTCTCTTCTCTCTCTCTCTCTTCTCTCTCTCTTCTCTCTCTCTTCTCTCTCTCTTCTCTCTCTCTCTCTTCTCTCTCTCTTCTCTCTCTCTTCTCTCTCTCTCTTCTCTCTCTCTTCTCTCTCTCTCTTCTCTCTCTCTCTTCTCTCTCTCTCTTCTCTCTCTCTCTCTTCTCTCTCTCTCTCTCTCTCTCTCTCTCTCTCTCTCTCTCTCTCTCTCTCTCTCTCTCTCTCTCTCTCTCTCTCTCTCTCTCTCTTCAGAATGTCTGCAGAGCTCGGTACGGCTGCCCTCTGACGTCTGTCAAGACAGCCTCAGATTCAGATTCACTTTCAGAATCACATTCGGACCCCCTTAGATTTTCATAAAAACTGGTCCATGGGTACAGTTTTGGACGCTGATTCCAATGGTGAAGTCTGTTTTTCGCCACATATTATACTTTGGCCCCTAGAGGCATTCAAAGTTTTTTTTGGGCGAAGGGGGACCCCCTTAGATTTTCATAAAAACTGGTCCATGTGTACAGTTTTGGACGCTGATTCCAACGGTGAAGTCTGTTTTTCGCCACATATTATACTTTGGCCCCTAGAGGCATTCAAAGTTTTTTTGGGGAAGGGGGACCCCCTTAGATTTTCATAAAAACTGGTCCATGGGTACAGTTTTGGACGCTGATTCCAATGGTGAAGTCTGTTTTTCGCCACATATTATACTTTGGCCCCTAGAGGCATTCAAAGTTTTTTTGGGCGAAGGGGGACCCCCTTAGATTTTCATAAAAACTGGTCCATGGGTACAGTTTTGGACGCTGATTCCAATGGTGAAGTCTGTTTTTCGCCACATATTATACTTTGGCCCCTAGAGGCATTCAAAGTTTTTTGGGGCGAAGGGGGACCCCCTTAGATTTTCATAAAAACTGGTCCATGTGTACAGTTTTGGACGCTGATTCCAACGGTGAAGTCTGTTTTCCGCCACATATTATACTTTGACCCCTAGAGGAATTCAAAGTTTTTTTGGGTTTTTATAAAAATCAATATGTGGCGAAAAACAGACTTCACCATTGGAATCAGCGTCCAAAACTGGACCCATGGACCAGTTTTTTTGAAAATCTGAGGGGTCCCCCTTTCCCTTTAGAAACTTTGGATGCCTCTAGGGGCCAAAGTATAATATGTGGCGAAGAACAGACTTCACCATTGGAATCAGCGTCCGAAACTGTACACATGGACCAGTTTTTATAAAAATCTAAGGGGGTCCCCCTTCCCCAAAAAAACTTTGAATGCCTCTAGGGGCCAAAGTATAATATGTGGCGAAGAACAGACTTCAACAATGGAATCAGCGTCTAAAACTGTACACATGGACCAGTTTTTATGAAAATCTAAGGGGGTCCCCCATCGCCCCAAAAAACTTTGAATGCCTCTAGGGTCCAAAGTATAATATGTGGCGAAAAACAGACTTCACCATTGGAATCAGCGTCCAAAACTGTACCCATGGACCAGTTTTTATGAAAATCTAAGGGGGTCCGAATGTGATTCTGAAAGTGAATCTGAATGCCTCTAGGGGCAAAGTATAATATGTGGCGAAAAACAGACTTCACCGTGGGAATCAGCGTTCAAAACTGTACACATGGACCAGTTTTTATGAAAATCTAAGGGGGTCCCCCTTCGCCCAAAAAAAACTTTGAATGCCTCTAGGGGCCAAAGTATAATATGTGGCGAAAAACAGTTTTCACCATTGGAATCAGCGTCCAAAACTGTACCCATGTACCAGTTTCTATGAAAATCTAAGGGGGTCCCCCTTCCCCCAAAAAAACTTTGAATGCCTCTAGGGGCCAAAGTATAATATGTGGCGAAAAACAGACTTCACCGTTGGAATCAGCGTCCAAAACTGTACACATGGACCAGTTTTTATGAAAATCTAAGGGGGTCCCCCTTCGCCCAAAAAAACTTTGAATGCCTCTAGGGGCCAAAGTATAATATGTGGCGAAGAACAGACTTCAACATTGGAATCAGCGTCTAAAACTGTACACATGGACCAGTTTTTATGAAAATCTAAGGGGGTCCCCCTTCCCCAAAAAAACTTTGAATGCCTCTAGGGGCCAAAGTATAATATGTGGCGAAAAACAGACTTCGTCATTGGAATCAGCGTCCGAAACTGTACACATGGACCAGTTTTTATGAAAATTTAAGGGGGTCCCCCTTCCCCCAAAAAAACTTTGAATGCCTCTAGGGGCCAAAGTATAATATGTGGCGAAAAACAGACTTCACCATTGGAATCAGCGTCCAAAACTGTACCCATCGACCAGTTTTTATGAAAATCTAAGGGGGTTCCCCTTCCCCCCCAAAAAACTTTGAATGCCTCTAGGGGCCAAAGTATAATATGTGGCGTAAAACAGACTTCACCATTGGAATCAGCGTCCGAAACTGTACACATGGACCAGTTTTAATGAAAATCTAAGGGGGTCCCCCTTCGCCCCAAAAAACTTTGAATGCCTCTAGGGGCCAAAGTATAATATGTGGCGAAAAACAGACTTCACCATTGGAATCAGCGTCCAAAACTGTACCCATGGACCAGTTTTTATGAAAAACTAAGGGGGTCCGAATGTGATTCTGAAAGTGAATCTGAATGCCTCTAGGGGCAAAGTATAATATGTGGCGAAAAACAGACTTCACCATGGGAATCAGCGTCCAAAACTGTACACATGGACCAGTTTTTATGAAAATCTAAGGGGGTCCCCCTTGCCCAAAAAACTTTGAATGCCTCTAGGGGCCAAAGTATAATATGTGGCGAAAAACAGACTTCACCGTTGGAATCAGCGTCCAAAACTGTACACATGGACCAGTTTTTATGAAAATCTAAGGGGGTCCCCCTTCGCCCAAAAAAAAACTTTGAATGCCTCTAGGGGCCAAAGTATAATATGTGGCGAAAAGCAGACTTCACCATTGGAATCAGCGTCCAAAACTGGACCCATGGACCAGTTTTTATGAATATCTAAGGGGATCCCCCTTCCCCCAAAAAATTTTGAATGCCTCTAGGGGCCAAAGTATAATATGTGGCGAAAAACAGACTTCACCGTTGGAATCAGCGTCCAAAGCTGTACACATGGACCAGTTTTTATGAAAATCTAAGGGGGTCCCCCATCGCCCAAAAAACTTTGAATGCCTCTAGGGTCCAAAGTATAATATGTGGCGAAAAACAGACTTCACCATTGGAATCAGCGTCCAAAACTGTACCCATGGACCAGTTTTTATGAAAATCTAAGGGGGTCCGAATGTGATTCTGAAAGTGAATCTGAATGCCTCTAGGGGCAAAGTATAATATGTGGCGAAAAACAGACTTCACCATGGGAGTCAGCGTCCAAAACTGTACACATGGACCAGTTTTTATGAAAATCTAAGGGGGTCCCCCTTCCCCAAAAAACTTTGAATGCCTCTAGGGGCCAAAGTATAATATGTGGCGAAAAACAGACTTCACCGTGGGAATCAGCGTCCAAAACTGTACACATGGACCAGTTTTTATGAAAATCTAAGGGGGTCCCCCTTCGCCCAAAAAAAACTTTGAATGCCTCTAGGGGGCCAAAGTATAATATGTGGCGAAAAACAGTTTTCACCATTGGAATCAGCGTCCAAAACTGTACCCATGGACCAGTTTTTATGAAAATCTAAGGGGGTCCCCCTTCCCCCAAAAAAACTTTGAATGCCTCTAGGGGCCAAAGTATAATATGTGGCGAAAAACAGACTTCACCGTTGGAATCAGCGTCCAAAACTGTACACATGGACCAGTTTTATGAAAATCTAAGGGGGTCCCCCTTCGCCCCCAAAAAAACTTTGAATGCCTCTAGGGGCCAAAGTATAATATGTGGCGAAAAACAGACCTCACCATTGGAATCAGCGTCCAAAACTGTACCCATGGATCAGTTTTTATGAAAATCTAAGGGGGTCCCCGTTCCCCAAAAAAAACTTTGAATGCCTCTAGGGGCCAAAGTATAATATGTGGCGAAAAACAGACTTCACCGTTGGAATCAGCGTCCAAAACTGTACCCATGGACCAGTTTTTATGAAAATCTAAGGGGGTCCCCCTTCCCCAAAAAAAACTTTGAATGCCTCTAGGGGCCAAAGTATAATATGTGGCGAAAAACAGACTTCACCGTTGGAATCAGCGTCCAAAACTGTACACGTGGACCAGTTTTTATGAAAATCTAAGGGGGTCCCCCTTCGCCCCAAAAAAACTTTGAATGCCTCTAGGGGCCAAAGTATAATATGTGGCGAAAAACAGACTTTACCATTGGAATCAGCGTCCAAAACTGTACCCATGGACCAGTTTTTATGAAAATCTAAGGGGGTCCCCCTTCCCCCAAAAAACTTTGAATGCCTCTAGGGGCCAAAGTATAATATGTGGCGAAAAACAGACTTCACCGTTGGAATCAGCTTCCAAAACTGTACACATGGACCAGTTTTTATGAAAATCTAAGGGGGTCCCCTTCGCCCAAAAAAAACTTTGAATGCCTCTAGGGGCCAAAGTATAATATGTGGCGAAAAACAGACTTCACCATTGGAATCAGCGTCCAAAACTGTACCCATGGACCAGTTTTTATGAAAATCTAAGGGGGTCCGAATGTGATTCTGAAAGTGAATCTGAATCTGAGGCTGTCTTGACAGACGTTGCCCTCTGCCAGAGGCGCCACATCCGGTGACGCGGCCCGGTCATACCCCTCGCCTCGCACGGAGAGGACGGCGGGTAGAGCGTCGGAGCGGCGGCAGAGTGCGCGGAGAGAGCCGGACAGGGCACCAGCTGAGGGAGGCAGGGTACAGGGGGGGGGGGGGGCGAACATCGTTTTACGGATGATACAACTGGACACTAAGAAAACAGAAGTAGGTGTTGAAAATAATACGTCGTCATGTTGTTGCAGTTTAGTACGAGCGGGCGAGCCAATCAGTCTCTCGTAGAATAGCAGAAATGTCTGAGCATCAGCGGCCGGCCGGCCGTGGTCACCCTTCTGGGAGGTCTGTATCACAGCAAACCACTGGGCAGTTTCACTTGCGGTCTTTTTTAGGGTAGATGCATCCCTTCCACCAAGTACTGGATTATTACCAATACATTTCGGCGACTCCCAATGCACGTGCCACGTTCAAAACGAAAATGCTTCCGTTTTGTAACAATTACAATAATTCGGTTGTTACTGTGACGATTGCGCTGAAACTTGAATGCACTTGGACAGCCGCCGGGCAGTGCATTTTCGTGTGTCACGGTTGGGGCGTCACGGTTTCATGTGTCCCCCCCCCCCCCCCCGGTCCGCAGTCGGCGCCGTCAGACTGGACGGACACCCCTGACAACAGACGTCTCCAGCGACGCGTCTCCGACCGTCATCGAGTACCGCCACGTCGACACACTGCCGGAGCAGGTGCAGCACGTCCAGACGGCCCGATTCCGTCTCCAGTACGGCCGATCGGTGCTGGAGCACCTGGAGGGGATCGGCACCGACTGGCTGTGACCGGCCGAGGCCGTCCAACGACGCCGATGGAGGACGGACCGGCCGACGCCCGCAACGGTCGGTGTCTACTGTCACTCAGTTGTGTTGTGTGTCGGTAGTGCACCAGGTGTGGGGCGCATTCGTGTCGTTTGTTGTGGGTAGTCGGGTAGACGTATTGCTGGTATTTGATGCATACTGTAGGTATTGATGTGCGGTGCACAATGTATAACACATTGGAAGGCAACTTATCTGCGGTAGTTTGTTAAACATTTGTACCTGCTACCTATATATTAGACTACTTGTGACATTTTTCTGTCTCAAATTGCCGCCCGCTATCCTGCCTTTTTGATTTAGGGGACGGAGTCTTTGGAACTCAATTATTATCAGTCAGCTAACGATCAGTGATTACCTCCCCACAAAGTGCCCCGTTTGGACCCTCCCGGCTAATTCACATCCCCCACCGCCTGACCCGTGTATTACCGTCCCCTCAGAGCGGCGCCACGCGTGCCAGCGCTGTGGCCAACAGCTGGGAGCACTCCAGGAGCAGATCGTGCACGTGCACACGGTGCACAAGGACAGGGGCTGGTGCAGACGGTGCCGGACCGAGTTTCCCGATCAACGGTCCAGCCTGGAGCACCGCGCCCGGTGTCGGCGGACCAACGGTCAGAGGCAGAGAGGGGTTATATTCAGGGCTGGATTTGTCAGTATCGATTCTGATCCCGGGTAATGAAATATGACAGTATTATTTTAGGGTACATGAGGGTACGTACCATTTTGTTTGGGGCGGGGGAATCATGTGTCATAGAAAGTGATTGATTTTGGTGTACTGCCGCTTGCTATTTCCGGTTTCAAATTCATGACTTGAAGAGCCTTCCTTTGTGATGCATAGAGGAGTCCATTATAATTAATCATAGCTGGGTCATCCAAATTAGATTAAAGGCACTAAGCCGATGCACCTTGTCCCTAATATCCTGTGGTTAGTATATTTATATCTCGTCTGAGACCGACGACATTCGGAGAGCTGGCCACTGCTTATTGCCATTACTATTAGGTGTGGTCAACCGGCCCGCTCTGTTGTGGATTGTTTCTGTACTGTCGGGTGGGAGCGTCACAGAGCCCGGGTAACTCTTCCTCGGCTATTTGTACATACGTCAATGGTCCAAGTGGTGCAGAGCGCCGTTGAGTCCTCGCCGCTCTGTCTGTTTACCCTCCCCCTTCCAGCCGGGGAGGGGGGGGGGGGCTGCCGCTTCCCTGACGGTTTTTTGAGACTCCACGGGACACACCGGCGCTTAGAGAGCTGAAATTTAGCGCGCCTAACATTTGAATCAAGCCGGATCGTTTGACACAAGCTTCCTTTTCAGGTCAGGTCGGGTCACTGACCTAAGACGTCACAAGTGAACCTCTGCACGGTCCTAAAATGTCGCCACTTCACAACGCCCTCAGTGTCCTCGGTGCCGGCCGCTGCCGCCGCGCCGTTCGCGCGTCATCCGACCCCGCTGACGGCTGCCGCCGCCGCCTCGGCGCTCCATGGATACGCGCCGTGAGTGGTTCAGTCTGAGTTTGTCCTTTTGAGTGTGTATTTGGGTTGAGGAATGCGTTGACCACGAATGCGGAATGCGCCCTCACACGATGATTGGGGTAATAACGTGAGTGGGGACGAGTTAAGATAGCCGGAGTGATGCCAGACTTGTTATCTTGAGTAGTGACGCCACATTATCGCAGGGAATGTTTGATTTTGTGAGTAGCTGATATAAAAACACGTCATTTATAAAAAGTTATTTTTGATAAAATGTCATGCTGCACATACTTGCTATGTTGTGAATTCACTCCTCGTTTTAGTGTTCGGATTTAGTTTGTTAGATGTCTCCTTTGTCGTTCAGCTGCAGGTGGTTTTGATCATGATTCAACAATTATCGCGATAAATATACTGCCTCTACTGACCGTTTGGCTCTGTTCTGTTTCAGGTTTTACTACGACCCGATGATGGCGAACCCGGCGATGGCAGCTCAGCTCCAGGTAGGTGGTGGTAACGAACATCTGGTGACGGAAAGACCATCGACCAGCTCTGTTCATAGAGATCTTACATAGAGGTCGTGGAGATCGTATGTATAACATAGCTAATTTTGTTGGCTCCGGTGGCTGTTGAATGGCGTACGGGTGGTGTTTGGCTTTGGTTCGAAATATGTTGCCGGAATGGGAGTAACAACCCGAGTAATTAAGGTGGATCTGAGTAGATTGAATAATGGCCAATGAGTTGCTACGGCTATTAACTGCCCACCTTGTATTACATCAACAGACACTCCACACATGGTTGTGGCTATTCTTTATTTATACCTTGCACAACAATTTATACCTTGTTAAATTGTTGTGCTCATCATGTTGCATGACAGTTGTATCATTTAAGGTATATTAATTGTTTTTTGTTGCGTCAGAACTAAAACCTCTCGCCGTACCAGCCAGCCCTACGACTTGGCTGGTGCTGTCTGATCTAGTTGTCACCTGTCCCGTCTCACTGACGACTCATTGTCCTCCCGTGCTTCCAGTCGGGTCCAGCGGCGGCGGCGGCCGCTGCCCAGGCGGCCCTGCTCAAGGGGCCGGCCGTCTCTCTGGCCCAGCCCGTCTCGGCGGCCGCCTACAGCGCCGCCGCGGCGCGCGCCTATACGGCCGCCCTGGCCGCCCAGCAGCCGGCTGGCTTGGCGGCGGGGGCGGCGGCTCAGCAGGCGCAGCTGGCCCAGCTGGCCGCTCTGGGGTGAGCGCTAGTTCGGGAAGGGGATAGGAGATAGTACTCAGCCTGTAGAGACGCCGCCGGATATTCGATTCTACTTCCCACCACCTGTATATGCTGATTGCGAGCATGGCTGCTCTTGGTTGGATATCAATGATAGGTGATTTGGACCAATATGTTCGAAATATGCTCATCTGAATGTTACGAAGCCTTTTATGACATGTCTTCATCAGACTTTCCGTTTTTGTTGTCAAAGAAGACATGGATGTGCAGGGTTTAGATGTGCATTTTGCGAACCTGTTAGTTGATCCTGGCAGTGGCGGATCCAGCTCAGAGTTTTTTGGGGGGTGGGGGGGGGGGGCAAACCATAACAATTAATCGATTCTTTCCATGCCTCGTCCATAGGCGCAGTTAAAATTATGCCGTTTGGGAGGGGCAAATGCCCATTTTGCCCCCCTGGATCCGCCACTGGATCCTTGCTTTAATTTGCGCCATTCACTTAATTCTCATTCGCTTTTTTCACCGAGGTTATTTCTGACGTGCAGCCAGCCAACACATGAGACTGTCACCTATCAACATGAGAATTAGCTTTTTCCGTTCTATCATTATTTCATCCTTTTGCTATTCCTGCACGCTCCCGCGCAATGTTGTGTTTTGACCGGTCCCTTACGGGCATGTTTCAGTATCCCGACGTCTGGGGAGTACGGATCGGATCCGTACCTCGGACACGGAGTGGGACCCGTCGCCGGATACGGGGTACGTACCGCGTGCATGGACGGGTACTCGGGGTACCGAGTACCGTGTACCTGTCCGATGTGGAGATGACGTCCGAACATGGACACTTTCCATCGTTTTGAAGTACGTCAGTAATGTCTGGATATTGTGGGAATGCTGATTATTTAGCGACATCGAGCACGCCTTCAAACCATGGATGAAATAATATCGACACCTTTTTTTAAACCCCACATTTGTTCTCCGGTGAATTTCAGACAAGTTGGTTAGAGACCTTCAAAAAAGGTACAATCACTCGATTTTTCTCAAGTTTGTCTGTCTTGGCAGATAAAGCAATACCAGAACAGGCCTACGAACACACATATTTGATCAGGATCGGACGATTGGACACTTTTAAAAGGAGATCTTTCGTGCCTCCCGGAAATTCACGGGAGAGCAGATGTTTTAAAAAAGGTGTCGATATATACTACACCGCGAGTAGGTAGAACATAGGCGAGACGTTTAAAAGACTTTTCTACCTACGAGCGGTTTAATAATTTTATACCGTACCGCCAATATCTTTCGGGCGCTTAACCCTCTAGTGCCCCCGGTATCATATCTGTAAGTCAATTTGCAGAAAATTCGCCTGCTAATCATAGAGGTGAAAATTGTTGAAAACCCTGCTGTATCAGAAGTGGTACGTCTTGGCAACCACCTGGTGGCAAAATTTTTAAGTAATGATTTCTCAGTTTCCCACCAGGTGATTTTGAAGAGGGTCAGTTTGTCCTTTGCCAAAAATCAATTTGAGATGCAAGTGTAAATTTAAGCATTTAGAAAACAAAAAATTAGTTATTTGGAAAGAAACTTGGTATACTGTGAGACAAATGTTCAACACATATCATAGTATGTTGCAAAACATCGCAACTTTTTCAGGGTCAAAGATATGGACCCCTATTTTTGGGGATGCTAGATATGATACAGTGGGCATAGCACTCCAATATTTTCTATGAAATTTTCGCCGCTGCAACATACGGTGTGCCAATACCATAGTTTTCTCAGGTGATAAGCATTGCAATGGCCTGTGAGTCATTGCAAATGACGATGGTACAAGATGCATAAATTTGTGAAGTTCGCACCTCTTGCGCCAGATAACTCTATTTCGCTCCAGACTTAAAATGTCATAACGATATTGGTACGCTTATGCCGCCTCTCATCCTTGTCAATCTTCCAACATCTAGCTTTCTATGAGTGGCCTTACATGCCTCATACATCTCGACTTTTCTAACGCTCATAGGAATATGGTTTTGCAACTGTTTGACGATGACAATAGTGAACTTTTTGATCTGCAGGACACTAGCAGACCATATCTTCTAAAACCACGTTAGGAATGACATGCTATCGATGACAAGCTTGTTGATTTCAAGGAACGATCATCCGTGCGAGCATTTATACTCGTGAAACCAAAAATTGAGACTTGATGTTAGGGACAGGAGGATTCAGCGGTCTCTTGCACAATTTCGATATTCCAACAGGGGTTGTGGACGGGCTTATTTATGTCTTGTGGGTCTATGTGTTAGCTAGGCATGGCTGAAGACTTGCATTAGCAGCCAGCAGCATTTTTCACTCATATTGGAGAACGACTCACAATTTGTTTGCTATTCAAATCTCCTCCGTTCATCCCAGTAGTAAGAGATTGAATGTGGAGTGGAAAACTATACCGTCATCTTCAGAGGAAGCTGGCTAAACGGGCTCGCCATGAAGACAGACTCCGGACCGAAGGGCGTGGTTCCTTTGATTTCCTATATAAGAAGTAGGTAACCATGCACTGCTGCCAGGTTCCAGCAGGTGCCTGACACCTGGCAAGCATTTTCACTGCCAGGTATGTCATTTGTTGCCATATATTGACATATACCGCCAACTGTGGTAGCTGAGTGCCACTGAACAAAAAGGATTTATAGGTACTAAAACATGGATACTACTTTTGTACTGACCATAAGAATAAAAGTTAAAGTGCGGCATTGCGTAATGCGTATGCTCACCTCCATATGAGGTCAATGAATATTGTGCAAGTTCCTGCCGATCGGTGCACAGTTACCTGTACCTTTGTTGTCTGACACGTACAACGGTTACTGCACTGGTCAGTGCGCGGCTGTTATACTGACGCCGATGACATCAGGACCGCATGACCATCGACCAGTCAAAGTACTAACTGACGATTCACAGGCTGAGAGTTTCAGTCACCCGAGATTGTCCGGCTATCATGAAGATAAACCAACATCGTCTTTGGCATTGATCCCGGTCCGTCGGCAGGCTGTCCAGCATTTTGCATCAGAACTGCTTCACTTCAACCACTTACCGCGAGCCAACTGTAATGTCTTCATTTCTATATCAAGTATGCATAACGCATCTACGTTTGAGAAGCACGGCCCACATGTCTGAATTATGAAAAAATTGCACAAGTGCAACGCGCTGTATCGTGGAAATTGAAGGAATAGAAGGCACTCGTAAATAGATGCCTATGATTAGCGTTGTTCCCTAAGCACCGACTGAAAGGACATTTTGATACAAGAAGGATGCCAATGAAATATTAAGAAAATGTTCTGATAAAAAGTGCACAATAAAGGATGTCTTGTTGGCATTTTACACATTTTAACTGCCACTTTTATCACTGAAATTTTTAATAATATATATTTTCTCATCTATGTCTTCACTTCCTTCTGTGTGGTCTGATACCACTAAAAATTACCAAGTGGAATGCCCAATGTATCATATTTGATACAAAATTTATTTCCGAAATTTGAACTGCGAAAAAATATTTGACTCCAGAATTTGAACAAGGGACCCAAAATGAATCATATGTCACAAGGTGCTAATTTTAGGAACCGTGGAACTATGTGTGGGCATTAGAGGGTTAAAGGTAAAAATACATTTGATGTAAAAATAAGACATATTTCAGACTAGACGAATGTTTTACTAGACGTTTAAGAGTTTGTAAACCGTCTAGACGTTTAATAGTTTGTTAATCGTCTAGACGTTTAACGATTCAGTTACACGACACCTGATAACTTTCTCTCTTTGCACGTGAAGCAATTGTAAACATTCACTACGTTTCCATGACACGTCTAAATCTATTCAGCGAAATTTCACGTGCGTTTTTCTCGGAAACTATTTACCGTATGCAAAAAATGAGCGTACATATGATTTTAGCTAGCACCTAATCCTGTATTTACATTTTTACATTATGCTTAAGTGCTATGATGGAGTAAATCCATTTTTCAAAATCGGCTTAGCTTATGCCATGGAAACGTGGCTACTGTCCAGGGTATATTGAATTAGGGGGTAGGACCAAGTTTAGTAGGCATGATCTCAACAATTATCTTGTTTTATACGGCGGTTTTCATTTTCACAATATTATTTTTGATATCATGATGTTTGTATATCTCGGTTTTACGAAAAATAGTAGGGCAACAAAGATAAATTTCGCGAAAAAAATAATTTTAGTCCGAAACATCCATTCTGGTATGCAAAATTCAGTATGAAGCCCAGTATGGTGACCGTCTAGTGCGTCTAGTGACCGGCTACTGTCTACGGTGCGGGATAATACTGGATTGGTGTCTCGTGGAAATAAACACAGGGATCCGCGACATTAGGATCAGGTCTGCCATCTAGCGAGAGAATTATGGTTAGGTAGTGGTAAGCTAGATAGGCATTGGGAACAGGCCTGCCACCTAGCGAGATAATAAACGTTAGGCAGTGGTAAGCTATATGTCAAGCCTGAGCTCCATGTTGCCAGAAACTGCTAAGACACCAATCCAGTATTATTACATCCATGTTTAAACCTTATTTATCCGGAATGAAACTGAAAACGCAGTGTGGCTTTTATGTATACCTCATGATTAACTCGGATGTGTCAGTATTTAGTTACAATGTAATATTACGCCTGTAAATATATGACTATGAATGGGACATTGATTTGCCTGAAGGGTCATCGTATGGAGTTACCGATTGATTTGAATCCGATAGGTAGCTAAGCTAGGCATTTGCAATATTTGGTACCTGACAGAGTTCCTGGGCTGTCCCCCGCTGCACCTCTGGTTCCGTCTTTGTGTCTGTGTTCCAGTTCTGACCGGTTTCATGTCTTGCTCTGTGACCATCTGCCGCTGTCATGTTCTGACCGCTGTATGTCGTTTTCGCCGGCAGGCGAGTATGTACCGGGGAGCGTACAACCGGTTCGCGCCGTACTAAAACCACCTCACCACTACTATTGGCGGCTGGCGATCGGCTGAAACAAAACCAGTGGCGGCTGGCGATCGGCTGAAACAAAACCAGTGGCGGCTGGCGATCGGCTGAAACAAACGAGGCATCTGGTGTTGTTTTCTCTTTGAAATCTGGTGACATTTTACCGGCCGCAGGTGGAACTGCATTGCATGGCAGGGATTTTACCACCAATGAATATTGACATTTTAGTAAATGCTGTCGCTGTTGGCAGGCATTGTTGGCTCAGGCATTTGAACTCACTGTCAATAGGGCATTGATTGCATGCCCTGTGTATAGGAATCTCGCTCCTGTTGACATGATGTCGTATGCACCGTTCTGCGTTTGGGCGTTCGATAAGTCTCGTGTCTGTTGTGTTCCGCCTTTTTTCGCGCAATTCCCCAGATCTGGGACCGATATTACTGCGTCGATGACGTCATCCGGCCGCCAGACGGCGCGACGTCATTACACGAGTGTTGCGGCAGACCAAACGCCAGTGCCGACGGCATCTGAAGACATTCGCAGAAATTGGGGATATTTTGTCTCGGGAGCTGTGCGTTGAATTTCGGGTGTCTGCGTGGCCCGCGACTGAGCTACCGGGCGGCTGGGACGCTCGTCTCGATTTTGGGGGACGATCAACACTTATGGTGGCCCCATCGTCTCATTGTTTAGGTCGCGGTGCTGCGTCAGTGGTCGATTGATGTGAAAACGCCTGTACAATACTCTGGATAAGATCTGTGGCAGCGATCCCGGGATCGAATCCCACCGTCTGCCGGGTTTTCCTCGCCGCCGTCGCACGCACATGGGAATTGGAGGCGGTTGGGTAGTCGATGCGAGGTGGATACTGCTCATTTTGTGTTAGTTGGAGTTACACCATCTCATGACGTCATCTGGCCGTCATTTGCCTGTCATCGGACCGTCATTTGGCCGTCATCGGCTGTTTGGTGACTGACCGGCGCGGTGACGGCCGCCCTCCCGTGTACAAAGTAGGTGCAATGTCATGAATACATCCGCGGACAGGTTGACGGCCATTTTGTGTTTGTTTTTGCTGGGTGACTGAGGAGAGGTGAAACACGTTGAAAGAGGACACATGAGCCATAGCAGAGAAGGCACTTCGGGACGATAGACAGTTCCTTCCGACTCTGTTCAATTAAAGGGATAGACACGGTGCATCGGGGAGGACAGAGACGGGCGAGAGGGGAGGACAGAGACGGGTGAGAGGGAGGACAGAGACGGGTGAGAGGGAGGACAGGGGCGGGTGAGAGAGGAGGATCTGGACGGGTGAGAGGGGAGGACCGGGGCGGGTGAGAGGGGAGGACAGGGACGGGTGAGAGGGGAGGAGTATCCAGTAATCAGTATGCTTTTGTCTTCAATCTCAAAAAGGGTGATTATTTTCTCGGAGATAAAGTCCCACCCTGATCGCCATTCACTGGCGGTCGCAGCCGCTAGCAAAAGGGGGGGCCAAAGTCACACTCGCGGGACATAACATTTATCCGTCACCGGAGGGGGGGGGGGGGGGCTGATCGGCTATTTTTTTACGTCCACGAGGCGCCGCGCAGTTGGCATTACTTATGCTTCGTCCATCTCATTCTTACGTGAAATATTTAAGCTCAATTTAAGGCAAAATCACCAGTTCCATTTCCCGTCCCACGGTGCTTCCACCGGTCGGGCCACTGCACCATGACGCGGATCGGTGTAGCATAGGTATTCCAGTATACCTATTAGGTATACTGGAAGGTCAGGCACGCGGATTCATGACCTTACCACTATAAAACAATTCCGAAAAGTACAGATACCTCTTGCTTTGAACAAGCATGTGAAACCCAGAGAGCATTTTCAGACTATGACATTTACCCATATAGGTACCTAGTTGTGTGGCGGCGGGAGAGCGTAGGTACACCGACCTCTGGAGACCCCCACAGGTTCCGAGCTTTCAAAATTGGCATCTGAGGGCCGCGCGTGACTCCGCGGGGCTTCGCAACGGCTCTATTGGGGCTCACTCAACCTGCCTAGTCCTACTGCTAAAAAGACTGGCCCTGAGCCCTAAGGACTTCATCAGTCTCTGCCAGCCCCAGGACCCACACCGGCTCATGGGGTCCCGACGTCGAAATATGAGGGAATCTGCGCGGGACCATCAGGACGTAAAGTAATCTCGATCAGGACCAACGTAAGGCTGTGCCGGAGACTGCGTGAGCCCTCTGATCTTCAGAAACCCTCCCATGTATGTTTTCACGTAGAGGCCAGTTTTAGGCCCTAAGAGACCAGTACAGGGCCTGCAAACTACAAAGGCTAGTAGTTTGAGACCATCAGAGACCGAGTTGGGCTCTCAGAGGCTAATGTGGGTCCTTACTCATTACAGGCCAACATGGGCCCTCAGAGGTCAGCGTGGGGCCCTAAAAGACCGGCATGAGCCGTCGTTGGACCCCAGAGGCCAGCAGAGGGCCCTCAAAGGCCAAGATGGGCCCTCCTCAGAGGCCAATGCAGGCCCTTAGAGGCCGGCATCGGGTCTTCAGCAGCCAGTGCGGGGCCCTCATTGGCACCTAAAGGTTCGTCTTGGAACACCAGAGACAGAAATAAGGCCACCAGAGACCGGTGTGAGACCCTCAGACGCCGGTTGGGGCCCCTGAGGCCGGTTAGGGCCCCTCATAGACCAGATGTGGGGCCTCAGAGGTTGATGTAGGCTCTTAGCGGTCAACGTGGGCGCTTGAACGCCACTGAAGTTCCCTCAGAGGTCAGTGTAAGACGCTCAAAGACCGGTGTGGGAGCTATATTAATAGCTGGGCGTGGGTTTTTTGAGCCTTGTGACGATCGAATAATTGCCAGGGCCCCATACACCTATATGGGGGCCCATTGGCTGTTAGCCCCCCCCCCCCCCGCAACCGCCACTGTGTACACATTACACACATGCCTCTGAGATTACATACTAGCTCACGCAAACTCTATGCAGGCCCCGGAGGTCCCACGCCAATCCCACGAAACCAAGCCGGCATACGGCGTCACCACCGGGCTTCTGAGGTGCACAGCACCAACCCATGAGGTCTTACTTTAGTGTCTTAGAGCCAATCTCCTTTAGCAGGGCCCACCCGCCACTGCCGAAGAGGGTCTCATGCCAGCCATTGCTGGGCCTACGAGAGCCTCAAGTAAATCCACGCTGATATTCCGTGTAAGATCCGGCCATACTCGTGAACCGGTGCCAGCGACGCTGACCGCCAAATTGACAGAATGCGAAACTGAGCCCACTCATGAGTGAAATTTACGTTCTTTGATGGTGCAAGAAAGAAAATGAAACATACGAAAAGATTTTCTAGGACTTTTGTTCGATCTGAAAGGTGGGGCCAAAAGATAGTATGGCCCACCTTTCAGCACCAAAGGGGGGGCCATGGCCCCCGTGGCCCCCCCCTGGACCGCCTATGTCGCCATTCGTCACACTCAACAGCGACATAAGCGCGCATCGCATTTTGTAACCCCACTTCCCCCATCCCTAGTGACCATCCGACACAACTGAGCTTCCCGTCCCGCTCACCAGATGGCAGTGATCTGCCTGTCCAGTTCAGCTATGACGCCATGACGTCGCGCGGTATCCCCTTCCCCCTTGCTTCCCCCGATACGGGGCCGTGGTGCCCGGCGGGGACGGCGCAGCAGCCGGGGAGCAGCGGAAGCGGTGAGCGTGACGTGTCCATCAACCTCGGACGGTTGGAGAAGCTCTGTGCTCGTGTATGAGATTGTTGTAACCTAGAGAAAGATATCCTGGTTGATGAACCCCTCAATTACGACCTTCGCAGACGACCCGTGAATGGAAATGTGCCGTTTTTTGCAACCTAAATGTTTCTGTACTTAATGGTTGCGGATC